GCGGCCGCCGTGATCGAGCCCGCCGGCGGGGCAGGCGCCGCCGCGGCGGCGCCGCTGGCCGTGCTGGCCGGCAGCGCCGTCAACCAGGACGGCCGCAGCAGCGGCCTCACGGCGCCGCACGGGCCGTCGCAGACGGCGCTGATTGCGGCCGCCATGGCGGAGGCAGGGTCGGCCCGCATGGACTTTGTGGCATCCCATGGCACAGGCACCCCTCTGGGTGACCCCATTGAGACCGGCGCACTACGCAAGTCGGCCGCCGGCGGTGCAGCCAACCTGGGCGGCGGTGGCAATGACAGTAACAGTGGCGGCGACAGCGCGTTTGTGTTCACGGTCGGCGCCGTCAAGGCGACGACAGGGCACCTGGAGGGCACCGCCGGACTGGCTGGACTGGCGCAGGCGCTCGCGGCGCTGCAGCAGCGGGCGGCGCTGCCGCTACGGTACCGAGGGCTCAACCCCTACGTGGCAAGCAGCCTGGAGGGCTGGGGTGTGCGGTGCAGGTGGGTTCCCTGCCGAGCATGTTTTTGAATTGCTTTTGGCAGCTGCTGCGCTGCTTGAAGTTGAAGAGCAGCGTACCTTGTTGGGCAGGTTTTTGTTGCGTGTTGCCGGTGACGGGGCATGACCGCTGGTGGAGCAATGTGATTCCCCTTGTTGCTTCAAGTGCATCAACCAACCACCAACCCTCCCACAATCATACGCCAACTACAGGCTGCCCATTCAGCACGGCGGCGTGGCCCTGGTGGCCGTCGTCGGCACCAGCTCCTTTGGAATGAGCGGCGTCAACGCGGTGAGGGATCACGAGCTCTGTATGTTCTGGTTGCCAGGCTGCCTGAGACAAGCTCCTTGGCTGCAGCTTTGGGGTCAGAACATCCGGGGCGCCCAAGCATTGGTCTGGGAAGCTTCCTTGCATGCAGATGTTGCTCTCAGGCTTTGAGGCTTGATGGCACGTGGCTCAGCGCGCCAGCGGGGCTCGCCGGGGCCTCCCAGTCCAAGGGCGGTCCACCACGCCTGCAGAGCTGCTCGAACCTTTCTTAACATCCCTCAGCCGGAAACATGCAAGTTGTCCCTTGTCCCCGCCGACCTCGATCACTCCGTCCCCAGCACGCCATCCTGCGCGCCGCCACGCCCGAGGACGGCGCAATGCTTGCGCCTTTCGCACAACGCGATTCAACATCGTTCGTCTGGCAGCGCCGCGACTTCCTTCACGCGGCCGGCCCGCCGGCCGGCCACCCGCTGCTTTACGCCGCGTCGCCGCCGGCTGCCGGCGGCGGCGGCCGCGAAATCGTCGAGTTTGCGGTGCCGCCGCTGTCGCGGCCGGGGCTGGCATTCCTTTGGGACCACGTCGTGGCTGGCCTGGCGCTGCTGCCCGCGGCCGCCTTCTTGGAGATGGCTGCCGCGGCCGCGCGCGCCCTGCTGACGCCCGACGCCGCAGCCGCGGCCGCCGCCGGCGCCGACGGCCAGCCGGCGCTGGCAGGCGCCGTGCTCGCGGCGCCGCTGGCGCTGCCCGACAGATTGCAGCAGCAGGAGCAGGCCGACGGCGGCGGCAAGGGGCTGGTGCTGACGTGCACAGTGGATCTGACGACTGGCGCACTTGCGCTGCGCTCAGGGCCTGCCAGCGCCGGCTCCCCGCATCAGCATCACCTGCAGCACCACGTGAGCTGCTCCATCATCACCCTGGCGGCGCCTGCGGCCGCTGCAGCTCCTGAGGGTTCACCAGCCAATCCGCCGGGCCGCGCCGCGGCTGCGGCCGCGGGCGCGGACGCGCTCCGCGCCGCCTGCCGCGAGCCAGGGGACGCGGCGGCCGCGTACGCGTCCCTGCGGGCGGCCGGCCTGCAGTACGGCCCGGCGTTCAGGCGGCTGCGGGCGCTGCACCGCGGCGCGGGCGAGGCGCTCGCCCCGATTCGCGGCTCGGCGCCGGCCTTGGACGGGTTTGCAGTCCATCCTGCAACCCTTGACAGTCTGCTGCAGCTGGGCGCGGCCGTGCCGGAGGAGACGCACGCGACGGCAGAGCAGGCGATGGTGCCGGCGGCGGTCTCGCTGTTCGTCGTTCCCGCCCAGCCGCCGCTTGCTGCGCTCGGCGCGCGCGGCAGCATGAGCCAGGGGCTGGTGTGCTTCGGCCTCGCACGGAGAGGCAGCAGGGGCGACAACGGCGCAGCCCAGCAGCAACAGCCGCGCCAGCCGCAGCCGCCAGCTCATGCAGCAACGCTGCGCGACCACCTTTTGTTGGATGGCAGCGGCGGCCTGACGTGCCGCGTCGACGGCCTCGAGGCGCGGCCCGCGCGCGCGGCAGCTTCTCAGCAGCTGCGGCAGCAACAGCAGCAGCTGGAGGGCGCAGACGACATGCTCTACGAAATCGAGTGGGTGGTGGCCTCTGCCGCCTCCCAAGCTGAGGGTGGGGATGAGGAGATGCAGCATTCCCATCAGCAGAGCTGCGGGACTCTCCAGATTGCGCCGGCCGCTGCTGCTGCCCACACTGCAACGGCCCTTTCGGCGCTCCAAGTTTTGCCTGGTGCCGCAGCCGCCGGCGGTGTGCTCGCGCTCTCGGCCGGCGCCGGCCCCGCTGGCTGCGCCGGCGCCGGCTCGGGAGTGTCGACGTTGGGCGCCGCGGCGGCGGCGCGGGGCGGCCTGCTGCGCACCTTTGGGCAGGAGCACGCGCTCGGACTGGCAGTCCGGGAGTGGGACGGCTTTGACACTGCGAACGCAGCCGCGCCAGCCGCGCCCTCCCTGGCAGTCCTGTGGCGCGGCTCGCTGCCCGCCGGCCTCGTCGACGGCTACGGCGGCCGCAGCCTCGGCGGCGCGGCGCTCGTGCCGTCGATGCGCGCCAGCGCGGCGGCCAGCGCGCCGGCCGCGTACCACCTCGCCCCGCGCCCGCGCGGCGCGCTGGGCAACTTGGTGCCCCAGCCGGTGGCGGCCGAATTGTCGCAGGATGGCAGTGTCCTGTTGGCTGTGAAGGCCGTTGGCATCAACTTCAGAGATGTGCTCAACGTGAGTGTTTTGAGATTTGTGGGGAGCGGGGGGGACCATCAATCTGGTTGACTTCTTCTGGTGTGGTCCACCTGATGCCGGCTTGACGGGCCATTTGATGCGTGCTGCACCGACATAGGACAAACCTTATTTATACATGGCATGCACTCAGGATGTAGAGCTTGAGAGACAGGCGGTGCGTGCCATACACACGCTCCCCTGACAAGCTGGGGTGCTTGCTGATGGCCAACAAACCCAAACCCATCAACCACGATCTTAATACAGGTCCTGGGCCTGTACCCCGGAGACGCGGGCGATCCCGGCTCAGACTGCGCCGGCGTCGTGCTTGCCTCAAACGCCGCCGCCGGCGTGCGCCCCGGGGACGCAGTCTTCGGCCTTGCCACCGGCTCCCTGGGCTCCCACGTGCACGCGTCGGCGCTCACGTTGGTGCCGGTGCCGCAGAACGTCGGCTTTGAGGCGGCCGCCACCATGCCCACAGTGTTCATCACCGTCGACGCAGCACTCAACCAAGTGGCTGCCCTGCGGCCTAGCGAGCGAGTGCTGCTGCTGGCTGCAGCGGGCGGCGTCGGCCTGGCGGGAATCCAGCTGGTGCAGGCACTGGGAGCGCGGCCGCTGGCCACGGCCGGCAGCCCCGCCAAGCGCGCCCTGCTGCGCTTGCTGGGCGTGGACGCTGTGTCCAGCTCGCGCGGCCTCGGCTGCTTTGAGGAATGCGCGCTGTTTGGCGGCGCGGACGTGGTGCTCAACTCGCTGACGTCACCGGGCATGGTGGGCGGCGCGCTGGCGCTGCTGCGGCGCGGTGGGCGGCTGGTGGAGATCGGCAAGCGCGATGTGTGGAGTGGCGCCGCGGTGGGCGCCCAGCGTCCCGATGTGGCATACAGCCTGCTGGCTGTGGACTTCATGCCCGAGGCGGGCCTGCACGCAGCCATGGTGCGGCTGTCAGCGCGCCTAGCTGCGGGCGTCGTGCGCCCTCTGCCCGGCGCAGTGCATGATCTGCGCAACGCGGCAGCGGCACTGCGCCAGCTGAGCCAGGCGCGCCACGTAGGCAAGGTAGTGGTGCGCGCCTCTGGCGCAGCTGCTGCCGCCTCCGGCTTTGGTGGCGGCAGTGGCGGGGGCTCAGCGCTGTTCGGTGCTGCCGAGCGCAGCTGTGGTGGCGCTGTGGTGGTGCTGGGCGGCACAGGCACCCTCGGCAGCCTCATGGTGGGTTGGCTAGCGGAGAGCGGGGTCGGCTGGATCCCAGCCGCAAGCCGCAGCGGGCGGCTGTCAGGGCCGCTGGCAGAGCAGCTGCTGGGAACAAGTGGCAGCAGCGCCGCCCAGGGCGCCGCAGTGTCGGTTGTGGCGTGCGACGGCGGCGCTGCTGCAGACGCGGCTGCCTTGGAGGCGAGCCTGGGCGGCCGTGAGCTGCTGGGTGTGCTGCATGCCGGCGGCGTGCTGGCAGATGCTACGTTCGCCAACCAGACCGCAAGGGGCATGCGTAAGGTGAGGGGATGCTGCACGAGAGGTGTGCCTCTTTATTTTACAGGTGTGCTGGCTGCGCCAACACAGCAGCCGGATTTTCTGTGCCAACTGACCAGCCTGCTTGTTTGTGCCAACTTACCAGCCAATTGGAAGCCGGCTAGTCACTTGATTCGTGGCCACCTCACCCTGCACTCAGCCATTCTCTAATCAGCTTGCTATTGGACTCGCCCTCCCTACGCCATTCCAAATCCGCAAAAGGTGTTTGGTTCTAAGGTCCAGGCCTTGGAGCTGCTGCAGCGCCTGCTGCGCCGCCATCCGGTTGCAACCACTGTGCTGTTTAGCTCAGTAGCTTCCCTGCTGGGCAGCCCCGGCCAGGCCAACTACGCCGCAGCCAACGCCGCACTTGACGCGGCGGCAGCGGCGCTGCAAGCTGGCGGGGTTGGGGCGCTCAGCGTGCAATGGGGCGCGTGGGCCGGCGCAGGCATGGCGGCCAACGACCCCCAGACGGCTGCGCGCGTGGAGCGCATGGGCATGGCGCTGGTCAGTCCGCGGGCGGGCCTGGCCGCGCTTGAGGGCGCCCTGGCCGCCTCCGCTGCCAGCGCCAAGCCCGTCGTGGCAGCAACACCCATTCTTTGGCCTGTCCTGCTGCGCCGCTTCTTTGGCGCGGCGGCGGTGCCTCAGCTGTTTTCGGAGTTTGCGGGCGCGCTATCAAAGCGGCCCGCGCCTGCACCTGGCGCGGCCGGCCCGGCAGGTGAAGCTGCTGTGAACCTGAGCAGGCTCCGATTCTTGGGAACCTTGCTCTCAGTGTATGGATGGCCTTCCATGTGGGATGGTAGTATTGTTGAGTGTGTCTTGGTTTAGTGTAGCATATCGGATGGCAGTGACTCGTGTGCCAGCTTATTTGTCCTCAAGGGGATTCCCTCAGTCGTATTAATGACCCCATGCCTTCATCTGACACCACCATCTCTGCAACCCTGCTACACCCCCGGCCTTTGCCCGCCCCAACAGGCGGCCCCACGGCCCCAGCAGGCGCGCCGCGCCGCCTCGGCCGCGCCGCGGTGCGATCCCTGGTGCGCGACGCTGTGGCCTCTGTCCTGGGCCCTGCAGTCAATGACGACGAGCCGCTGATGGCGGCGGGCCTGGACTCCCTGGGCGCGGTGGAGCTGCGCAACGCGCTGGAGGGCCGCCTGGGCGGCCTGCAGCTGCCGCCCACGTTGGTGTTTGACTACCCTGCTGTATCCAGCATGAGCGATTACATCTCCAGTCGGTTGGGGCCGGAGGAGGAGGATGGAATGCCATTCGGGGCAGCAGCGGGAGCCGCACTGGCGGCAGGACGGGCCGCTGAGCCGCCCCTGCCGCCGCCCGTGCCCGCGGCGGGCGCGGCTGCGGCAGCGAGGCCCGTCGTCGCCATCACCGGCGCCGCCTGCCGCAGCCCTGGCGGCGCGATCGGCCGCGCCGCGGCGTCGGACGCCGTGCGCGCGGTGCTGCTCAGCCGCTGGGACTGGGAGCGGCTCGCGGCTGCGGCAGCGGCGGCCTCTGCCGCCGACCCTGAAGAGCGCCCCGCACGCTTCGGCGGCTGGCTGGATGGGATTGAGATGTTTGATGCGGCGCTTTTTGGCATCAGCTCCACAGAGGCGGAACTAATGGATGCACAGCAGCGACTGCTGCTGGAAACGGCCCATGAGGCGCTCTGGAGCGCCGCCGCCGCCGGCGGTGACGTCATCGGTGACGTCATCGGTGACGTCATGAGCGGCGGCGGCGGCGGCGGCAGCTTTCGCGCAGCGTCGGTGCTGGGCACGGATGCGTGCGTGGCCGTGGGCATTGCGAGCGCGGAGTACAACAACTGGGTCCTGCGGCGCGCGGGGCAGCCGCCGTCGGCGTACGGCGCGACAGGTTCGTATGAGAGGGCAATGAGGCCTGGAAGGGCTGCTGTCTGCATTAAGAATAGGGCTCCCCGACGTCTGTCATATCGCTTAGATTCTCATTGGGTGAAGAAGGACAAGGTTGAAATGACCTGCGCCACCACCCCGCAATTGTCTGGCTTGCTTGCAGCGGCTTGCATGTATGCGTTCTGCCACAACGCCGAGTCGTCTGCTTGCAGTTGCTCACACTGGGCCCAAACCCTCGCAGGTGGCGCCCTGTCCGTCGCCAGCGGCCGCCTCGCCTTTACCTACGCCCTTCGCGGCGCTGCTGTTTCCGTGGATACTGCCTGCAGCAGCAGCCTGGTGGCCGCGCACTTTGCGGTTGGTCAGATCACGGGCGGCGCCTCCGCCGGCGGGCTGGCCGCCGGCGCGGGGCTGCTGCTCTCGCCGGAGCCGACCGCCATGTTCAAGAGTGCGGGTGCGTTTGGAGGCCCGTCATACCGTCTTGAGTCGTGCCGTTTGCTTGACACCTGCTGTTGTGTATACGACAGAGGTAAGTGGTTGGAAGTTTGAAGGACCCTCACCCACCCACTACTCCAAGCCAAGAATTGAGACACGGCTGGTGCCAAGAACTCATCCGTGGTTTTGCCGCCAAACTCGACCCAGGCATGCTGGCGCCGGACGGCCGCTGCAAAACGCTCGACGCGGCTGCAGACGGCTACGTGCGCGCAGAGGCTGTGGGCGTGCTAGTGCTGCAAGCGCTGCTGCTACAGCACGACCGCGGCGGCGTCGGTGGCGCTGCCGCGGCCGCACGCGGGGGCCGGGCCCTCGCCGTGCTGGCTGGCAGCGCCGTCAACCAGGACGGCCGCAGCAGCGGCCTCACGGCGCCCAACGGGCCGGCGCAGCAGGAGGTGATCCGCCAGGCCCTGGCGGCGGCGGGGGTGGCGGCTACCGACGTGAACGGAATCGAAATGCATGGCACGGGCACCAGCCTGGGGGACCCTATCGAGGTCGGCGCCCTGGCCGCCGTGTTTGGCGGCAGCGGCGGCCGCGACAAGCGGCGCCAGCCGCTGCTGCTCACGGCCGGCAAGAGCTGGGTCGGCCACTCGGAGGCGGCAGCCGGCGTCGTCGGGCTCGTGCACGCGGCCACAGGCCTGCGGGCGTCGCAGGCGCAGGCGGTGCTGCACCTGTCGGCGCCAAACCCCTACCTTGAGGGATCACTGCGGCCGCCTGGCGGCGCCGCCGCTGCCGGCGGGGCCTGGAGCCTGCCGCGGCAGGCGGCGGGGCTGCCGTCCCTCGGCGGCGCGGAGGAGGTGGCAGTCAGGGGCGTCAGCTCGTTTGCTTTCCAGGTGGGCAGATGGGGAGGAGCCCTAATCCCTGAAATCTACACCCTGCACTTTGAGCCCTGCTGCTTTTCATATTGGTGGCTTGCCCTCGAATTGCGCGCCTCGGATCGTTCCGGCCTTCAACGAGAGGTGTTACCAGCTGGCAATGGATGCAAGTGGTCCTTGGCTGCTCAGCACATGCACTGCCTTGAGAACCTCAGTTGGCCTAACCTGCCCCAACCTACCCTTGTCGCAACCCAGGGCACCAATGCACACGCGCTGCTCCTTGCGCCGGCGCGCGCCGGACCGGCGTGGCCCCAAAACACGGCCTCACTCGCGTGGCAGCGCGCCCACACATGGGCCGCCCCGCCCGCACGCCTGCTGGTCGACGCAGCGCTGCCCGCTGCGCCCGGCGCCGCGCCCGGCGTCCCGCCGCGCGTAGCAATGCGGTGCGCCGTGGCGGGTGCGGCGGCGGCGTTCCTTCTCGACAACGTGATCGAGGGCGCCGCGTGGCTGCCCACCTCCGCTGTCCTGGAGATAGCAGCGGAAGCCGCTTCTTTGGTCACCGGCGCCGCCGCCGCTGCGACGGCACCACCCACAGCGGCGCTGGCGGGCGTGGTGCTGCCCTCCGGCTTGCCGCTCGCCTGGGCGGGCGCCGCTGACGTCACCTGCGTGCTGCACCCGGCCAGCGGACTGTTGGAGGTCCAGGCGGCCTATGCGTCGGACCCCCAGCAGCCGGCGCAGCAGCACCGCCACGCCCTGCTCTTCGCCACCGTCACCCGAGTCACCAGCAGCGGCGGCGGCAACGGCGACGCTGGAGAGGCGGCCCCGGCCGCGCAGCGGCTAGCGCGCGTGCTGTTCGGTGCGCACGGCGGCGCGCTGGCAAACGTGCCAGGCGCCGCGGCGTACGCATCCGTCGACGCCGCCGCGATGCCGGACACCGGCGGCTTGATCGCCCACCCCTGCGTGTTGGAAGCTGCCCTGCAGCTGGAGGGCGTCATGGAGGCAGCTGCCGCGGCCGCAGCTGCCGCAGCCATCGGCGAAGGGGCCGCAGCCGAGGCCGAGAAGGAAGCTGCACTAGCCGCAGCTGCGGCGGCCCAAGTCATCCGGGTGCCTGTCAGCATGGCTGCCTGCCTGCTGGACCGGCTGGATGGGGCAGCCGCCCCGCCAAGCGCGCACGCAGCGCGGCGCGCTGCAGGCGGCCGCATCTTGACCAGCGGCTGGCTGCGCCCGGGCGCGTGCGCCGCCGTCGCCGGCTCCGCCGCCACCGCCGCCGGCTGCCGCATGTTTGATGCCGAGTTCCGCCCTCTGGCCGCGCCCGCCGTCGCCGCGGCGGCCGCGGGCGCCGCGATCGAGGCGGTGGAGGGCGCGGCGGCGTTTGGGGGCGGGCAGCGGCCGCCGTGGCTCGATATGGAGCCGTGGGAGGTTGAGGATATGGTGGCGTCTGCGGTGGAGGCCATCGTGGGCCAGCCGGTGCGTGGTCCTTTTGTTCGCGAAGTTGCTTTGTGGCAGCGACCTGTTGGCCTGCCGGGCTGAAAGGGGGTCGATTGGGGGGCGGCTGGCGTGATGCGCTCGTTGACTGGGCAAGGCCTGCATTGACGCATGCACGCACGCACGTACACACGCGCGCGCACGCACGCATGCACACACACACACACACACACACACGCGCACACACACACACACACTCACACACACACACACACACGCACACATACACACACACACACACGCGCGCGTGCACGCACCCACGCACACATAAACACACACACACACACACACACACACACGCGCGTGCACGCACCCACGCACACATACACTCATACACACACATACACACACAAAAACACTTTCCACGCACCAACCACCAAGCAAAACCCAACAAACCCCACAGATCCCTCTGGACGAGCCGCTGATGGCGGCGGGCCTGGACTCCCTGGGCGCCGTCGAGCTGCGCAACGCGCTAAGGGACCGCCTCGGCGGCCTGCAGCTGCCCAGCACCCTCCTGTACGACCACCAGTCCATCTCAGCCATTGCCGTCTTCATATTGGACGACCTGTCTGGGCCAGACGCCGCCAACGCCGTGGTCGACACGAGCATCAGCGGCGGCGCGGGCCGGCTCGGCTCGCTCGCGCTCGCCGGCGGCGGCGCGGGTGGAAGCGGGCCGGGCGGGAGCGGCGGCGCGCCGTCGGCGCTGCTGAAGCTGCTGAGGGGCGCGCCGGCGCCGCGGCCGCTGTTCCTGGCAGCCCCGGGCGTCGCAAACGCACAGTCAGCATATGTGAGTCACGCCTTCCCCCCAGCTTCCGCCCGCCCCACACCTCCCTCTAGACCGACCCCCGGCCCCTCGCCTCCCCGTCCCCGCTGCCGCTGCCGCCGAGCGCCTTGCTTCAACGCACGGTCCTGCGAACGCTGAGATCCGATCCTGACCCCGACAAGTGTGTGATCTGAGGTCCCAACGTTTGAACCGCCCCACCCCTCGCAGTTTGCGTTTGCTCAGTTCCTCTCTTGGTCTGATCAGGTAGGGCTCATCCCCTTGCCCCTCAGGCCACGCATGCGCTGAGAGCCCACACACATAAATGCAATCCCCGAAAGGCCACACACGCCCTGGAAACCTGCCTGCAGCCGCTTGCCCCTTGTACCATCTCCTGGGCCAGCCTCGCAGACGGATGGCCCTTCCAACCCTGCCCATCAACCTCGGACGACCACTCCGCCGCCCCCCGCCCCCCCACACGCACACCGCGAACCCCACAAATTCGAATTCAAATTCAAACCGCCCCCTTCGACAGCCGATCTACGTGCTGGAGAAGGACAACGACCTGGACATATCCGCCCTGGCGCGCGCCAACGCGGCCGACATTCTGAAGGTCCAGCCCGAGGGGCCGTTCCTTCTGGGGGGCCACTCCTATGGCGGCACCGTGGCTGTCGAGGTGGCGCTGGTGCTGGAGGCGTGGGGCCACGAGGTCGGGCTGGTCATGGTGAGGCGGTTTTGGGGGTGGGGTTCTGGATGGCGGTTTGGGGCCCGGCAGGGGGAACTTTGGAGTAAGCGAGCGGCAAGGGAGGAGGGTCAGGGGTCAAAATTAGGGCAGGTGAGCGTTAGGTACCTGCTGCACCCCCAGTAGTGGGCCGGGGCCCTAATAATCCAGGGTTTCCAGGACTGAAGGAATCCGTTGCCCTCGCTTCTGCGATCAGATGCCCCCACACAGCACCCCCTCACACCACGCC